TGCTCTTTGCTCCTACTAATGCGAATTGTAGGAGTAAGGACTTAGGCCGTCCTGATGGGGAACTGGTGAGCCCAACGGGTCAGGTTTGTGTTTGAAGACCACTCCCATGTCCCCGACATGACCTCATTGGCCCTACAGCTCCTGCTGTCCATCAGCTCTGCCAGACTTCAAGACCCAATCCACCCATAAGGTGTTATCAGTTGCCCACTTACTAGATGCAGAGCCCTAGACGCAGAGGGGTGGGGCTGGAGGAGAGGATGCAGAGGAGCCTGGCACCAGGCCTCGGGGACTTTGCCAAGGAACAGTGGAGATAGGGACACGTGAGGAGTCTGACTGGTGGCATTGACATGGCCGGGCACAGAACAGGTGCAGCTGAGGCCTGCAGCAGTCGGAGGAGAGGTGTTCACTTTGTGGGCTAGCCTGGAAAAGCAGGAGGTTAGATTTAGGCTGGATGTGGAAGGGTGGGTAGAATGTGGGAGGCGGTGGCTGCTCCCAGAGAGGGCAGAGAGGACGTGCAGAAGGTCACGAGCAGGGGCCGGCAGAGTGGGCGATTGTGCTGGGGAGCCAGGAAGGAAGGCTGGAGAGCCTGGCCCTTTTTCAGTGACCCTTAGTGTCAGACCAGGAGCAGGGCTGGATTCGTGGGACCGGATCGCACTGACCCCGGGCAGGGCAGGCCCGGTGCTGTCGGGCTGTTGAGATTGGCGAGGACGTATTCTTCTAGTTTCCCCTCTGAGGGAACCATTGTCTGTCTACCGGACACTTGTTTTCCTGGAGATGAAGAAATTCTGCCCTTACTTGCAGGGGTACAGACAGCAGAGACTTGGGGCTCCCGGGCCCACAGGGCTTGCAGAGGCCATCATTGCCGTAGTGGTCTGCGGTGCCCGAATTGAGCCTTGGTAGGATTTGGGTGAGCGATCTTCCAGCTGGCGTCCTGCAGAGGAGAAAGGGCTGCTGGGCTTGCAGAGATGAGGGGCAGGGCTGCTGAGCACACACATCCCCGTTTCCCACCCTCTCCCTTCAGGAAGCCCCTGATGGTTACTCTTGTAAGCTCACCCCAATGTCAGAACCACATTGCTGTCCCCACTCACCGTGCAGTCTCTCTGTAAGGGTTTGGGATCTTCAGAGCTCCCCAAGTGCCGTCTAGATCCATGCCTCCCACCACTGCATGTCACTCTTCTAAGTTCCCGCCATTCACCTGCCATGTTCTTCCCTGGCTTCTCGCTGTCCCCAGAGTCTAATGCCTGTTCCTTCGCCAGGCTCTCAGGGTCCTGAACCACACGCCTGGGAGCCACTTCTCCAACCCTGTCACCCGTTTCACCAGTGGCCTTTACTTATGCCCAACTGAATGCCTGCTCTTCCTTTCTCTGAGCTTTTGTTCAGCCTCATCTGAACAGCTGTGGACCAAACACCTACTCACCCTTCAGAACCCTCCCTCAATGTTGACCCGCATGAAGCCACACGTAGAACCTCCCACCAGGGACTGGCTGTTCCCTTTCTTGCCTGCCTGTCCTTACCTGTGCTCTTTTGACCAGATTTACTTTCTCTGTTTTGCATGAGCCCCTCCAGGACAGGGAATGCCACATCCCTTCTGACTGCGCAGTGAAAGTTGGTGGCGTGAAGCAAGGAGATGGGAAGCCGGGGCAGGGGATCCGGGGTGCCCATGGTGCCCAGCATGCTGGGTCTTCTGTTGACTCCCTTGCTGAGGCCTCCAGACTGTCCTCCCCACACTCCCGGTGCTGCTCTGACCCAGGCCAAGCAGAAACACACCCTGGCTTCCCAGCAGGCTGTGGGTGGGAGCAAGCTTCGTTGTGTCCTCACATCTGGACTCTTCAAGAACAAGGAGACTCAGGTTCTGGATCATCATAGAATTTAAGAAATTGCATGTTTTTTGTCAGAGGCATTTAAAACTCAAGCTAGAATCAAATCATTCTCAGTTCTCAGACTGTATTTCCAAATTCTTTACAATATATGAAATCTCAAATTCAATCTCTTAAAGGATTTAAAAGGTTCACTGCTGCATTGGCCGGGAATCGAACCCGGGCCTCCCGCGTGGCAGGCGAGAATTCTACCACTGAACCACCAATGCTCCAGCTAGCAGTAGCTATCCAGCACCTCCCTTTAACCCCAGTCCTGGGCCTCACCATGTATGTGATGATTCACAGAAGGCCAGTCTCTGGTGCTGCCACATCAGCAGAGCTGCAGGACCAGGCAGCTGAGGTCCCAGAGTGGCAGGAAAGGCAGGAAGGAGAAGGGTGTGTGTGTCGGTATCAGAAGTTGCTTTGCCTCAGCCCTCGGGCCAGAGCTGGAGCTAATTCCTTGTAAGCAGCAAAAGCCTGTTCAGACTGGGCGAGTCTCCCCTCTGCTGTGGTCCTCCTGTTCCATCACGCTTAGGCCAGCATTGAGCTGCTTTACTGTGCTCAAGTTTCACAGTTGCTTCCTGGAGACTGGCCCGGGCTGCAGGCAGTGCGGAAGAGGCCCCTTCCAGGTGAAGCATGAAGGCCGGTCTCACGTAGACAGTGGTGCTTCTCTGGAAAACCCAGCTGCTCTGCCCATGCTCACTAAGCAGGGAAGTGTGACCCCAGGTGCATTGACTCCCATGGCTTCTGTAGCTCTGGTGTGGTTGGGGAGACTGGCTCCTCCAGAGAAAAAGACAAAACAGCAGCACTGCATTGGCCGGGAATCGAACCCGGGCCTCCCACGTGGCAGGCGAGAATTCTACCACTGAACCACCAATGCTCCAGCTGTTCTATAGAGTACCTGTGGGGTTCTTCTCAAAGAGGTGTCACTGTCATGACTCAGACAGCAGCTCTGGCAAATCACTGGGCCTCCCTGGCTGGTTTGTCTGGTTTGGGAAACCTGAGGGGAAGATGTAGAGCTGTCCGCTGGGGCCTCGCTGGGCTGCTGTAGGGGTGGGGCCGGCAGAGCTCGTGCTCAGCTTGCGCCTTGCACCGGAGGCCCTTGGTTCGTCCACAGCCCGCTGCACCGTGAGGTTAGAGCAAGAGGCACCTCGCAGCCATTCGTGCAGCCCCACCTGAGACAGCCGCTGCTGCATCCACCACCAGCCCAGGAGCCAGGCCCGTTGTGTCACCTCGTATGAGAACAGTATCTGGCACGTCATGGGGGCTCTGTACGATTTGCCAAGTGAAGTCTGTTCCAAACCATTGCCTCGTGCCTCTCTGAACAACTCTTTGCAGGAGTGGTTCGCTGTCTCGCTGGACAGCACATTTGCTTTTGGGCAGCTGTAACTACTAGAAAGTTTCTGACACCGAACTGGAGCCACACACTCATTGCTACCTTTTGGACATGACTGTCCTTAAAATTCTTCAAAGCAACTCGAAAGCCCACTTAGGCAACAGGTGAGCGGCGTACCTGCCACAAGGCAGAGTGGTGAGGGGTGCGCCCAGCAGTTACTTGGAAGAGTTTTTGGTCTCTGGGCCTCCTCTTCACCCCTCGGTGGCTCCTGCAGTCTTGGGTCCTCTCGTCCCTCCCTCCCCACTCCCAGTCATCTGTAGTCTTCTTAAGCACCTTTTATGGAGCTCCACAAAATCCGTAAGGGGCGTCCCTGTTTCTGTGATGTAAAATCCATCCTCCCTGTCTTGAGTGCCAGAGTCACCACAGCCAGCCCGTTCTGGCCGACGTCCATGCTGTTGTGTTCTCTGGGGCTCCAGACAAGGCACGCCTCCTTGCCTTTGCTCACACACTTCCTGCTCCAAAGGCCTGGTTCTTTCCCTGTGCCTCCTTCAAGATCCAGCTCAAGTCCTGCTTCTAGGAAGACTTCCCTGACTGCCCAAGCCACAGTTCCCATCAGTGATCGGGCCACCCACCAGGCCACCATTGTCACAGTGAGACACCTCACCACAGAGCTCCCAAAGGGCAGAAATGTGAGCTTTGTGTCCTCAGGGCTCCAAAGACACAGACGGGTCCATTATTGAACTGGCCTTCCCGGCTTCTCCACTCAGGCCAGGACCTGCCATGGGGAGCTTCCCCCTAAGGTGACCCACAGGTGCTCCCCCCAAGGAGGCTGCCCTGGAGCTTGCTAGCCTCCTTCGCGCCCTTTCCTCCTCCCTGTCCATGCCACTGTCCAGGTAAGCACCCTGGAGGCACAGGTGTTATTGGGCCACCAGTGCTTGTCTGTCTGATTCCAGAAACAATTTCTCACTCTTCTGCCCCGCATCCACCATATTTCAGATCCTTCTTACCCTAATAGCTGCCACATTCTCCTCTGGGGTTTAGCCCCCCCCCCCCCTTGGCTTCCCTGGGCTGCCCCTAGAAATGTCGGAAGCATAGGTGTCGCCGGACCCTCCCTGCCTCTATCTGCTCCTCCCACACTGCAGACTCTGGCCCGGCCCTAAGCATGAGTGTTCTCAGTGCTCTCCTGGGGCCAGGCTCCTCCTGTGCCCAGACGTTCTGCCTCTTCTCTACTCAGAGAACGTCTGACGCTGATTTCAGCAGATGGTAGCTCCCTGCAGCCCTCCTGGATGGCTGGAGGAGAGTTAGCCCCTGCAGGGCCTGCCTCTGCGATGTCACATGGGCCGCTTCGCACTTGCCTGTACGCGGATCTCGCTATTTGACGGGGCCACCTCAGCTGCGTCCCCAGCTCCTCTGGACCTAGTGGTACGGAGGCAGAGGGCTGTGTGGATGCGCAAATGGTGGGTTGAGCAGTGTGGAGTGCAGGTGTTGGTCATCTGCTAATGTATGGCATTACCTGCGCCCCAACAAGATGTTCGTTCGAGCTCTCAGTTTCCTGGAAGTGAGAGAGCCCCGCCGTTCCTCATTCCATTGTACACAAAGGGAAACTGAGACTCGGAGGAGGGAAGCCACTGTGAGCCAGCCAGCAGCCCCTAGCTAGCAGCAGAACTGAGAGACGCTGCTCCAAGGAGCCTGACTCCCCGATTCCTCTTTCCGAACAGGTCATCCCCCTTCTTGGCCCCAGCCCTGGAGGCCACAGCAGGGGTAACCTGATCCCACTGGTCCCACAGCCTCCTCTCCTCTCTTTCCAGGCTGGTCCGGGAGTTCGTGGCCCAGAACAACACTGTGCAAATCAAGCATGTGATCCAGACCCTGTCTCAGGAGTTTGCCCTGTCCCAGCACCCCCACAGCCGGAAAGGGGGCCTCATCGGCCTGGCCGCCTGCTCCATCGCTCTCGGCAAGGTGCGCCCTTCCCCAAGGGCAGACAGCAGCACAGCCTTGACTCTGAGTGGTCCGGCTGGCTGCCTCCCTCCCGACACCCAGCGGGACGTCGCAGACTGGAGTCTGACCAGCAAGGCTGGCTTTGCGACCTTGCGGCCTTGTCTCGGGCATGGCCTCTTTCTTAGGAAGCTGACTCAGGCAGGGTCTTTGGGCCCAGCCCCCTCCCCCAAAAGACCCGAGCAGCTCCAAGGGAGCTGAGCTGTCCACAGGCACTGCAGGCTGCGAGGCTGGGGCTCCCGCATCCTGAGCTTCATCCCCCCTCCTGCCCCATCATAGGACTCGGGGCTGTACCTGAAGGAGCTGATCGAGCCGGTGCTGACCTGCTTCAATGACGCGGACAGCAGGCTGCGCTACTACGCCTGCGAGGCCCTCTACAACATCGTCAAGGTGGCCCGCGGTGCCGTGCTGCCCCACTTCAACGTCCTCTTCGACGGGCTGAGCAAGGTAACTGAGCTCAGCGTCCCCCCCCCCCCCCCCCTCCCCCTCTGGCCCGGGGGTGCTGAGG